GTTGTGGCAGGGAAGAGTGTGGGTGTGCAGAACATTGCATCAAGAAGGGTCCTGGCAGTCTTCAGCCAGCTGGCTTAAGAGCATTGACTGCTTTAGTAGAGGGGCAAAAAGAAAAAAAGGCCTTATGGAGACGGTGATAAACATCTGAGACTAATGTATTACTCTAATTGAGGCGAGATGGACATCAATTACATTTCAGCGTTCCTCAGAAACACTGGGCTGCATCGTGCTCTGCCTGTCCCCACTCACCCCAGTTCCTGGGCTGCATCATGCTGTGGTGTAGGCAGCTGGTGTCGGCTGCTCCCGGAGTCATGGCAGCAGGGGCTGAGGTGAGTGCGGAGAAGCAGAACTCAGCATAGAGCCTGGTGCAGCCGCCGGCCCCAGCCTGCAGCAGCAGCCTGCTGTTATCCCATATGCAGATCCAGGGGCGTGGAGCAGGAAGAGGCACCACCTTGCCCCCTCCCCCCACCCCGTACCCACTGACAGTTCCCTCTGCAGCTGGCACTGGCTGCTCACTGGGCCGCTGCAGCAGGGACTAGGGTGAGTGCAGACAAGCTACGCTGTGCCCTGTGCCGCTCAGGGTTCTGCTTGTTCCCACTCACCCCACCCCCTGCTGCAGCGGCCCCAGGAGCAGCCGACACCAGTTGCCTGCACCAGGGCATGGCGCAGCCCAGGAGCTGGGGGGAGTGGGGACAGGCAGAGCCCAGGTGCAGGGGTACAGGCAAAGCACTGTGCAGCCTAGCAGTTGCAGGCCACTGGTGCTGGCCACTCCTGGGGCTTCTGCAGCAGGGATCAGGGTGAGTGGGGCCCTGGCCCCACAGCCCTTTTCCCCTCCCCTCACAGATTTACCTGCGTGGGCGGGTGGGGCACCTATGCTGATTGCATAAGAGCAAATATACCTTGGCTATAAGGCATCATGGTCTAAAAATGCGAATTGCATAAGAGTGAATTCGCATATACAGAACCTGTATAAATCAGGGGAAACCTGTATTAGAAAGCCAAATGATTCAGTAGCTGTATTGACAAAACTGCTAATTTGGTGAAAAAAAGAAAAACAAACAAACAACCCTACAAATATTGTGCAACCAAAAAGAATTAAAATTGAAGATTTTTTCTGAGATCCTTATTTATGGTTCATATATGGATATACTAAAAAACTTTGGTAAAAAAGAGACATTTATTTTCTAAATGAATAAAGCACAAAATATATGATGCAGCTCTGAAGACCCATTACAGCAGGACTTAACTTTTGATTTTCTATACTTTAAATTAAATGCAAAACAGATGTATATTTTTAAAAGTACTGAGACACTTTTTTCAGAGTTTGGAATCCAGTTTTATATGCCATAGTAAACCAGATTGGTGCTATTAGATATCTGTTTTTAAGATTATAATCTTTCCTCTGTTTTAAAAGATATAATTAGCTCGTTAAATTGTCCCATACAGATTTGATATTTCCTATTCTGTTAGTGAGGGTTAAAGAATAAAAGACCAGCAGTAATTTGTTTTAAAAATGTGCCTGTATATCACTAATGTCATATAAATTATAAACATTATCAATTTAAAAATGTTTCTGTGTCTGCGCGCACACTTTTAAAACATGATGTTTTCGATTTGGGCATTACCTTAGTTTTGCCTCACTGTGCCCTTGTCTCCATGTCAGCATTGCCCTTGTCTCAATTTCAGGTGTAACTAAAGTTAATTAGTTTTACATGCTTCTGTCAGATCCTGACGCTTATTTTTTATATTGATTCTGAACATCTGTCTCAAAAGCTTCTATATTTATAAATTATCCAAATGTTACTCTGGAGTGGAACGCATTTGATTTGTGTTTGCAGGGTTTTACTGCCTCTTGCACTAGTACTACAAGTCTAGTGGCCCACTGACTATTACAATTTAGAGATCAGGACCAAGCTTCACAAATTTGTCTGTTTCAAAATAGCTACAGCTTTCCATTACTTATAATGGAGCAGTTATAACTACTCAGTTTGCCGTTAGTTGAGATCAGCATCTTTTCATCAGAGTATACCCTGGTGATACTAAGGATACTTTCAGCAAAGATGGTTACTGCTTTGCTATGTTTAGGAAGCCAATACTGGAAAGAGAGGTATAAAATCATAAGGGTGTGGAGGAACAGTAATGGGATATGTGAACATAGAGAGGAGGTTGTATGTTGGAACTGGAGTATAGAATACAAAGTCCCATCCTGAAGCTTGGCTCCAAGAGATGCAATTGTAAGACTGAGCCTTGGATACGGGAAAAGGGAGAAAGGATAGAACATAAGTGTCCTCTGGTAGCAAGGGAAAGGTAAAAGTAGTTTCTCTTGGATAAGCAAAGGAGAGATCCTCGTTTTTTAATAAATTTTGACTCTTAAACCCTAGAAGTTAGGTGGCTTTCCTCAAATACTTGTAATAAAGGCAGTTGGGAAAACCGTGCAGTTGTCTTAATTTTATGGGTTTTTTAATATTGTATGCGACTTAGTATGATCCATGCTTTTTTTTAAAGTTTGTGCATGTCAGTACAGTGGATTATTGGGTTTGCAAATTTGTAATGGGTATTACTAAATTAATTGTTTAAATCTTTGTACATCATATACTGTTAACTTGCCTAACTAAACATCTCTTTTTCACAATAGTATCTTTTTAAATTAAGGTTTAATATATTAAACTGGGAATATTTCCTTTCCAGGAAGATGCCCAGGAGGAGTTTGGCTGGAAACTGGTTCATGGTGACATATTCAGGCCTCCCAGAAAAGGAATGCTGCTGTCTGTTTTTCTAGGATCTGGCACACAGATCTTAATTATGACATTTGTTACTCTATGTAAGTGATAGGGATAGGAGATGTTTTAAAAGAAAAGTCACCTTTACAGCTAATGGCATGGAACTATTACTGTATTTACCTAATTCTTAGATGAGTTTGAATTTAAGATGACCCACCAATAATTAGAGTCTAGACTTATGACAGTTATAAATTTGTAATTTTCCATGCCTAGACTCTGATTATTGGGGGGTTGTCTTGACACTTTCCCCCCACCCCTCCCCACTGCTATGTGGAGATTATGTGGGCGGGGGATTTAAATAGCCTGACCCTTGCCCTGTGCTGCCTGTACCCCACACCCCCCTGCTGCCTGCATACTTCACACTTGTTCTCCCCAGTACTGCCTATGTCCCCCATGCCTGCCTCCGTCCTTCTCCCCCCACCCTTGCAGTACCTGTGCTTCTTGTTGCCTGCTTCTGCCCCTTGATGCCTGCCCCTCACCATGGTGCTTGCATCCCCTGGCACCTGTCTCCCAACCGGTACCTGCCCTCCATGCTTCCTCCCCTTACCTTCTGGTCACAGTTTCAGCTCTGGCTTAAGCCTCACTCCAGCCTGGGGCAGGGAGCATGGAGCATGTGCTGGTTCCAGCCCCATCTGGGCCACACAATAGCAGCTGCAGTGGCAGCAGCTCTGGCCTTGGAGCCAGCTTGCTCCATGCTCCCTTCTCCTGGTTGGAGCAGGAGCCCCAGCCAAGCTGTGATGGGAAGATAGGGTGAGGTGGAGAGCAAAGGGCTGAGGTGACATTGGGGGGAGGAGGGGGCAGATGCTGCAGGGGGCAGCAACTACAACTCTGACCTCAGGTTTGGTGCTGGAGCTGCAACTGCTACCCTGCACTGCTCCCCTCCCTCCTGTGTCCCCTTCTTGAATGTGAATCTAAGGTATTGAGGCTTTTTTTTTCCTATGTTGGGCTGGCGGGGAAAAAAACGTGTCTTTGGATTTGAATATATGGGGTAATTGGAAATGAAAGATTTCTATGTAATATTTGAGGCCAGAATTGGAAACAACTTGTTTGTATCTGTGCAGTAGTTCTGTATATTAATCTGTATACATTTTCAGGATAGAAATATAATGATGGGCATAATATAAATAATTAAGCATCTTGCATCCTGCTTGTAGTTTTTGCTTGCCTCGGATTTCTGTCTCCTGCTAACCGAGGAGCGCTTATGACCTGTGCTGTAGTCCTGTGGGTGTTGCTTGGAACTCCAGCGGGTTATGTTGCTGCCAGATTCTACAAATGTAAGTGAAAATTATTTAAAGTGAAAGGTTTTAAATTCATTAGTCTAGATTTATCATCACAACAATGATTATCTTTGTTCTGTATGTTCCCTTGGGCAGCATGGATAACAAAGATAACTACAGAAAAGAAAAATGGACCACATACATGGTTAGCTTGTTCCTGGTGAAATAAATCTTGAATAAGAATTTTAAGACCTTTTTTCAGAGTTCATATCCTGTTAGAAATTTTGTGACTTGCTTTCATTTTTATACACATATACATATATATATTTTTATGGATGGGGAAACAACAAAGAGCTACATGTTTATACTGAACTGGTGACTTGTAATTCACTGTTTTTTCCTGTACTAAAGTATTGCCTTGATTTGCTTAAGTTTTCCTTGGCCATGTTGCCATCTACTTGAAAATATGGCAATTTTGATTTTTCTCTTTTCAGTTAATATTTGTAGTCTCCATCAGGGTGTGCTTCTAGTCTTGTCAATAGGGAAATAAATGTAATAAGGTCTCTGACTATGGAGGAGGACTTCACTTTGGTGTTTTAGTACCTCACTATGGTGGTCCCTCCAGCTTGCCGGTCCAAAGTCTACAGGAAGCTAAGTGGTTCTTCTTGTATGCACAAGATTTTGCGGGGGGGAGGGGTGTGTGTGCAGAGGAGAGTGGTAACTCAGCCCATTGTTTTTCTTTACCTTTGTTCTAAAATACAAAGTGCTTATGAGTGTAAACGGTTGCATGGAGTACCTGGTGCTCAGTTTTCAGGAGTTGTTTCACTATGGATAGATCAGTCCTTGGAAGGGGGGTGTGTGTGTGTGTGTGTGTGTGTGTGTGTCCATATTGCAGGTTAACTCAGAGGCAGTTAAGATTTTAATTTTTCCAAGCCATTCTGGACTTTGGGTTGTATGTTGTATATATTTGATTTATTTTTGTCTTGCTGTATTACAGGTTGTGGAGGTTGGTGGTATGTGTGGGGGCCGAGGGGGATCCGGGAAAGGGTCGGCTGAGTTGTGGCCACAAACCCAGAACGTACAGATGGGTACTTTCGACTGCTGGAGTAGAATTAGGCACAAACGCGTACTGGTTCAAACAAAGATGACTTTACTTACACTGTCGAGATGTACAGCGTAGGAAGAAAGTTAACTTCAAACTTCAGTTGTAGTTTAACCGAGGAGCTCTGATAAGACGAGATATCTTTCTAACGGGTCTGAACACGAGCATGCAGGACACGGGGGTATGTCGGGACGGTCGGCGACGGGGAGTCATCAGAGGTTGATCAGTCCACCACGTTCACTCCGAGATGGGCGCAGAGTTCTCCAACTTGGGCGGAAACTGCTCCAACCTTTTATACGGCTAGCGAGCCAATTGCTAGTCACCACGTAGGAATAATTTAGAACCGGCCAATAGTAATGTGTGAATTTGCATTTGAGTGGCGGGAACCTTTCCATGCCGCGGTTCTCCACCATGCCGAGAAATTCCCTCGTACAAAATCTCACCGTGCCTTGTGCTAGAAAGTTCCACTGTGCCGAGGCACTCAACCACTAGGCCCTGACAGTATGTAGAAGATGAGGGGAGAAATAAAGTGCTTATTTATGCAAGTTTGTTTGAGTTGCTCCTGCAGTTGTGGTTTGTACAGGTAGAGACGAAGGGCTGGGATAAAGCTAAAAGCAAAATGAGGAATTGGGTCTCAGACAGGCTGCCTCAGGTAAAGGAACAGAAGTGTGAGGGATTATGGCACTAAACCTAATTCCGTATCATTCCAGTAGTAGGCAACTAATAGATCCCCCAGTGTGTTCATTGATTCTGAGAGTTGTGCTTGTTAGCCAGTATTTGGATAGTCTTACCAGACTGTTGATGAATAGTTGCAATCCACGACAAATAATGAAGCTAATATACTGAACATCATGTAAATATAAGTGACACATTGCAGTATCTATAAAAACACACAAAAATACAGAAAGCAAAAATACAGCTATATATACTTACAAGGAAGGTTCAATTTTTACTCTTCCAGTGATAAAGTAAAAAAGTTGAAAAGAAAAATATAATGTTGATGGAAACTACCAGTTCCTACCAAGTTGTCAGTTAAGACACTGTAACAGTAATCATTTTTACTGCTGAAATAAAGCATATCATGATGACACAAGAGAGGAAACTGTTTAATTGAATTCAGGCAAGATGTTTGAAGGCATACTGATTAGAATTTTCATAAATCTGGCACAACTTTAAAAGTGTTTTCATAAAAGTTTTATTTAGACTTTAGATCAGGGGTCAGCAATCCCTGGCACATGTACTAGAGCATGGCATGTGAAACCATTTTGTTTGGCATGCTCTTACTCTGGGCAGGCCCCTGCTACCCACCATGGAGCCTGGGCTAGACGTACTAGGGCGTATCTCCTGCTGTGAGCAGCCTGGGCTTTGGGCAGAACCATGCAGCTTGCTGCGGAGACCAGGCTGCTCACACCAGGTGGCGAGCAGCCCAGGTCCTGTGGTGTGTAGCGTCCTGTCCAGAGACTGTTGCAGCACGAAGCCAAAAGGCTGCAAGCAGCTGTACTGAGGTCTGGAGCCCTGGCCCGGCTTGTTGCTAGTGGCAGCTACAAACGCACCTTGGGGTGGACAGTGAGGAAGGGTCGGACTTGTGGTGCCCCCAGCATGCCAACATCTTCCAAGTCAAGGTTGCAAGGACTTTCTGGCACTCAGCCCAAAAATATTGTCAACTCCTGCTTTAGATGTTGCTGCTTAAAAATATTAAGACTCAGGTGGAAGGTGTTGCTTACTATGCACAACTTTCTGATTATGATAAGTTGCTCCTTATTTTAAAAAAAAAAAAAAGTTTTACTTTAGCATAGTTCAGTACTTTTTTGACCGTATACCTATTTTCTAACCATATCTGCTACCCAATTAAATAAGGGTAAGCCTCGAGTGAATGAGTAAAAGGTCACATTTTCTAAGGTGTGAGTGACTTGCAAATCAAATTTGCTTTTTAACATAAAGATCTGAATACACTATGGATAGGGTTCTCCATAAATTACGCTGGACGTGACCCCCGCAGCAGCTCCTTTCACGTTTTTCATTTGCCTCACTGGCAGATCGAGGCAGGGGGCTGGGACCTACTCCATACCTGCAGCTGTTTCCAAACCGTGTGCCTCAATCACCTGATTGGGCCATGGGGCTGGGACCTGCCCCTGACCAGGACAGTTCCCAGCCTCTACCCCGCATACAGGGTGGAGGCTGGGGAGCCTGTTCCTCACTCAGCTTCACAAGTGCAGAGCTGGGTCGGGAACAGGCTCCCCATCCCCTGCCAGCAGGGAGCTTCCAACACCAGCTCTGCACCGTGGTGCCAGCACTGAAAGACCCTTATCTTCCAGCCTGAGCTCTGTGGTTGTAGGGCTGTGTGGTTGCAGTCACCAGCTCTGTAACTGCAGAGCTAGTGCTGGGAGTTGAGGATCTCCCAGCCCCCACTCCACAATTGCGATCTGGGAGCAGGGGGAGACGGTCCCTACCTGGGCTCTGGTGACAGAGCCTGCCCCAGCAGCAGGTAGCTCCCTAGGGGCAGGGAGCAATCTCCTGCCCCCTGGTGGACGGCTGACTGGGAGCAGATTTGCTCCCAGATAGTTGTCTACATGAGCACTGCTGTGCTGTTACTAATTAAAAGTAAATTTGCTATTTGCATTTGTAGGTAGCAAATGTACTTGTGATTAACAAGGCTTACTGCATAGTAAGCATGTGTATGTGTAGATCCCATTGACTAGCCACAGCTAGACTCCTTTCCAATATCAGAGCTAACTTGGGTGGAGTGTAGACATACCCCATAGTGCATTTTAGCTTTGTAGGGAGAGGGGAAGAGAAACAGCAACTTTTTTTACCCTGCTTTATTCACTTGGGATTTTCCAAGATGGTAATCTCTTGCTTGCCTGCAACTGAAAAAGCTATGTAACAGGAACAACCTGATAAAGGAGGTTTGTTTTGCAAATTTAATTACATAGTGTATTCCTTTGATCTTAATTTTAAAATTTCAGATGGCGAATTGATAGCATGTCAAATTGTAGCTCTTGATGTACTGCTAAAATAAGGTATAGTCTGCATTGATTGATCTATGTATTGATACTGCTAAACGTTATTTTTAATGCAGCGTTTGGTGGTGAGAAGTGGAAAACAAATGTCCTGTTAACATCATTCCTTTGTCCTGGGTAAGTTAAGGATGTAATACACTTTGAAAGAATTGAATTCTATTTCTGTCTTAGTTAATTTTTCTAAAGCTTTAGTTAAGCTTGAAAACAATGTTACATTATTTCTTTGTGGCAGAAATCACTTGAACAGAAAATACATTTGATGCAGACAGATTTGCTAATTACATAACATCTTTTAGCTGCTTTGTAAGTTTTGTTTACTCCTGCCATGTGAAAAGGTTGATTAAGTAGTAGCGGCATGACTGTAGTAAGTTTTAGACAGGAATGCTTTTTCATTTATTCCTATTTTTACTTCCTAGGCTGTTTCTTTGACCACACTGTGGTTGGTCTTGTATGGTGTCATGCTGTACAAGCACTGTGTTAAATTTTTCTACTTAATCACAGCAAGCAGTCTTCCCCTGAAGTATAGTTAAGACAAGCATATATTTGAAATTGCTTAGTTGTAGCGTCAGCTCCTGCTGGAGTTCAGTCCCTCTAGATTAAGGAAGAAAGACTGGTTTGACCTCTTGGTTTTGTTATATTGTGTGCATCAGAATATATATCTGATCTTAACATTATATTGACACTAAACTGTGAACATAGTAATACAGTTTCTATAATGTTAAAATTAATGTTTTGGGGCATCTCTTGGGGGTTTTTTTGTTGTTTTCTTTTAATCATGTTGTATATTTTTCAGAATTGTATTTGCGGATTTCTTCATCATGAACCTAATTCTTTGGGGAGAAGGCTCTTCAGCAGCTATTCCATTTGGTACTTTGGTTGCTATTTTGGCACTTTGGTTTTGCATATCTGTGCCATTGACATTTATTGGCGCCTACTTTGGTTTTAAGAAAAATGTAAGTGATTTATTTGCAGACAAGGTTCCTTGGGTGAATTTGATATCTTTTATTAGACCAACCCAAATAGTTGGAGAATAGTTATTAAGCAAGCTTTTGGGTTCAAAAACCCTTTGTCAGACTAAGGAAGTTTCAGCAGTTGGTGTGTGCTTTTCCTGGATGGAATGAAAAGTAAAGAAGCCAGGGGCTGGGCTGGGCTGGGGAGTCAGTTGCCAGGCAGATTATAATGTATCAAAAATCCAATGTCTGTTTAGTCCATGATCTCTAGTATCCAGGAGGTTGATGAAATGGAGCTCATAGGCTCCTCTCTGGGGAGCGTTGTGTAAGTTTCCCTTGAGGATCAGGACTGAGAGATTGGAGAGAGAGTGGCCCTCCTGTGAGAAATGTGCCCCCACCGGTAATTGGGTATTTCTGTCTTTGATAGATTTCCGGTGTGCATTCGTTCTGGTGATTTATTTGTACATTTTGCACCATACTGTCATATGGTAATACACAAGGCAAAAGTTTTTGCAGGGCTATGAGACAAGATTCAGCTCTAACCATAACCGAATCCCTTAGCATTGCCATAAGCAACTAATTTAGGATTCTACTGACTCTTCCATCAAATTCCTTAGGCATTTGTTTAATCAAACAGCTTTTTTTTAGTTTAATGTTACATGTTAACATTAGTTACTCTGGTCAGTAGATTTGACTCCTGGGCTTCTTCAAAGCAAACACTGTTTTGGGAACACAGTTGGTCTCATTTGATGTCTCTGATTCCCAGCAAGCTTTAGTGCTATAATAAGATATGAGGGAGACTGCTTATCAATGCCAGACTTTACTTTCTTATATCTTTTATTCTGAAAGGGATTTGTTTCTACTGAGGAAGGAACTGGGTCTGGGTGGGACATTTAGCAATTCACTTCCCTAAATGAGTATTGTTATTGAGCTTCACTCCTGATGATTTTATTTGTAATTAGCAGGGATCCTGGTTTTCTCTGTTTTAAAAAAAATTTCGAAAATTCTCTAACTAAAACCCCCCAAATCCATATTTTTCTGTGATTTAAAATGAAACACCACTTTATTTGTGTGTGTGTGTAATGTATCAGTTGGATACGGTGTTCTATTGATATCTCTATAATCTTTTAAGCAGATTGGAAGCCTAGGAGTGCCTTGATCATTATAATAAAATCAATTCTAAATACAGTAAAAGCTCTGTTATCTGGCATCCCCCGGGAATGGGGGATGCCAGACAACAAAATATGCCTGTTAATTGAGCGGCCCAGGCCACCGCTTCTCCTGCCGTGTCTGGGGCATCCTGCCGCCCCTCCCGTGGCATCACTACCCCTCCCGCAGGCCCCGCAGGACAGGGCAGGCTCCGCACAGCCTGTTATGCCCCCGGGTTGTGGGGGCTTGGCAGCACAGACTGCTTTGCCCTGGGCCGTGGAGGCTTGGAGAAACCGGAAGTGCCACAGTAGGCACTTCCGGTTTCACTTCATCTTACAAACCGGCATGCCGGTTAATTGAGCACACTGGCTTGTAAGATACTGGTTAACAGAAATTTTACTGTACCTATATATTTTGGTGTTCAATTTTGTTTATTTATCAGAGAAAATCAGAGCTCCCCCTGCCCCTTCACTCACCAAGACACAGGTTCAACTGCAGCTTTCCCCCCTCCTGCTTTTATGGCATTGAGCAGTCCTGATATGTTTGTGGCCTGCCCCTGCCCATGTTGTTGCCCCTCACTCCTGACCTGCTGCCCCCTGGCCCTGCCAGGGCCCCTCACTCCCAATTCACAGACCTACTGCTCTCCCCAACCTTGCTGGTGCCCTTGACTCCCAACCTGCTGTTCCCAGCCATCCCCCCCCCCGTGTAGGGTGCGGGGGTGGGTGTGTGGGCACAAGCATTGGGGTGGGGGGGTATGGGAGGGCATATGCCCCGCCCCCAGATTTCTGCACCCACAGTAGGGTATGGGGCTGCAACCTGGCTCAACTGGCACCAGGCAGGAGCAGCCTCTGCAGCGGTGGGCAGGACCCAATACAGGAGAGAGTGTGAATCACGCATTAGATCCTATCACACTGTTACCTACATGTGTAGAGTGGGGCTTAAAAAGATCAGTTGTTACACTTTTTTTGTAGCAATCTTTCAGGAAATGGTTTGTGTTTGGCCTGAGGTTGTTGGTAATTTGACTTAGAAAACATGGCCGTATGGTAGGTGATATAATGGGCCCAGTTCTTTACTAAATACACATTTCTTTGGTTTCTGTTCCTACAAGGGTCAACATTGAAGCAGAAGTGGTGATATAGTTAATATATTCAGAAATCTCTTATTTTCTTTAAAGGCCATTGAACACCCAGTTCGCACTAATCAAATTCCTCGTCAGATTCCTGAGCAGTCATTCTACACAAAACCATTACCTGGTATTATTATGGGAGGTATTTTGCCTTTTGGGTGCATCTTTATACAACTTTTCTTCATTCTAAATAGTATCTGGTAAGTGAATTGTAAGATTTTTTTTTTTTCCCTTTGAAGAAATTCTTATTTAGAGAGCTTGATTCCACTTTCCATTGTTTTCTAAAGTATTGTTTCAGTAATAAGAAATGCAGATGTTAGTCATCTTAACATTTTGCATCCTGGAAGGCACTCTGTGCTGTTTACTGTTGTCCAGCAGTATAGAGAAATGGCTGTGTGATATATTTAGCTTACAGATGACCTGCAGTATTCAGACCGTTAGATTTCTTAAGCTACTTCTGTGTATTCATGTAGAAGCGCCTCTGAAACTGACATGCACTAGGTATTTGAAAGTAGTTACCAAGAAATTAAATGGACGTATGATCCATAAAACAAAATTTGGCACAGCATTATTGCTGAGAGAAGAAATGACTTGGTTTTCCTTTCTTTAAATCTTCATAAAGGTATCAAAGAGTAATTTCCTTAACTACTCAACTAATCCACCAAAGCCTAAGTGAATTTTGATGTGTACTCAGAATTCGGTAGCAAACGACTCTGCCAAGAGGAATTTACCTTTAGCACAGTCTTTAAACTGTTGCTGAGCACTGAATGTGTGCTTATATTCAACATAAGTTGATCTACACGCTTTGGTGTTTCTTTCTGTTTTACCACTCTGCATCTTTTGAAGTATAGGGTGATGGCCCAGACCCATGGAAATCAATTGTGAAGCTGTAATTGACATCATGAGAGCCAGGATTTTACCTGTGATGTCAGTCAGTTCTTCTCTCATTAGGCCTCCAAATATTAGAGGGAAGTTCTCAGTTCTGATCGTGTCTGGTTATCGTTTTAGAACTGTAAAATTCCACATTTACGGTTTGGAAAGCAAAGGATGAGATAATTTCTACTAAATATCCACATCAGTGAAACCAGTGGATAGTGGGAGGGGAAAAATTATTATTTAAATTAAGAATGAATGTTGTGCTATTTCTTTATATATGCAATTTAATAATGTAACAATATAATGTATAAGCAACTATCCTTTGGATTCTATTGCAATATATCTTATAGTATTATATTAGAGACCTTTATGGAGAGAACTGTTTTCGAAGAAGATGCAGTTTATTTTAAGATTTTGTTCTTTGCTTGTTTATAGGTCTCATCAGATGTACTATATGTTTGGCTTCTTATTTCTGGTGTTTATTATTTTGGTTATTACATGTTCTGAAGCCACAATATTGCTCTGCTATTTTCATCTGTGTGCAGAGGTAAGAGATTCTTTGCTACTTGCAGGTTATATTTTCAGGATGTTTTGACTATATTAAATTTTCATACTTGGAAATTGAACAGTACAGAATTTAACAGAAGTAGGATAATTAGAGTTTATTAAAATATAATTGGATGACTTCCTATCACTGCTGTCTGGCACAGATTAGTGCAGATATTGATATTATGAATACACATATGCTCTAAAAATACCAGTAAGCTAGAGAGTTGTGTAACTGAAAATGGGCTACCTAGTTTCTGAAGAAGTCAGTTGACTAATTTGAAATAATTTACTTTTGTCAGTATGTTTTTTCCATGTACCTAGCCTGCACAAATAGATGCTTGCATGCATTTAGGACCCTTTGTCTTGTGTTACTTGGGATTGAAGGATTTGGCTTCATATCTTGAGCTTCTCATTTGTATTATGAATTGCAGTTTGTTTGATGAAATTTTGTCTCTGGCAGGTTAATCTGAAATACCCAGTAACTGATAAATTAGCAGTAGAAGTTCCTCTGTTCTGAATTCAGCAAGTTAATTTTTTTTATATAATCATGACACATCAATGTGTTTTCCTCCTCTTCTAGGATTATCACTGGCAATGGCGTTCATTCCTTACTAGTGGCTTCACAGCAGTTTATTTTCTTATATATGCAATCCACTATTTCTTTTCTAAACTACAAATCACAGGAACAGCAAGCACTATTTTGTACTTTGGTTACACCATGATAATGGTTTTGATCTTCTTCCTCTTCACAGGTAATTAAACTGTAATCTCAGTTCTTAATATTATTCTTTGTATTTCTAGTTGTTTACAGCAGACACTAGAAAAATCATAGACACAGGTGCATGAATCTGTATGCAAAAATAATAGTAACCCCTTACTTTCCTAATCCTTGAGCTCTTTTTATTTTTTGCTGTGACCAAAGGGTCATCTCTCTCATCTTGTATCACAGAAAGTGGGCTTGACTGAAATGTGCTGTTCAAAAATGGGTTAGAAATTGCTTTTCCCACACTTCCGTGCTGCTAGAGTATGAAATAAGAGGTTTTTCAGTGTTCAGTTTCCATGGTTGGAGGGATAAGCTCAGCATTTCCCTTTAGTGTCTGATACACATCCACTTTTGATGGTTACAGGCTTATCGCCTCCAAGGGCTTTATTTGAGGCTTCACAAACTTTAGGTAGCTTGCTCTCAAAGCACTTGATAAAGGTCACACTACAGTTGTGAGTAAAGTCTTTCCAGCTCTACTTGACATAAACAAGTATGAATAGAATTTATTTGGCACTTATAAAGAAAATTCCCCTGAGAGGAAAGAACCCAAGTTTGAGAACATTATCCCTTTAAGTGTTTAGGATTTTTTTAATTAAATGTTTTGTGACCATTTTAAACTAAGGGACATGTGCAGATAAATAGAAGGGACATTCTAGGTCAGTGGTTTTCAAAATTTTCTCATTTGAAGACCCTTTGGGAAATTTTGAATAGAGGCACGGACCCCTTTCAGTTGTAAGTGTGGGTATTCACATACTTTTGATTGATCATAGTAATCTTTCACAGACTCCTTAGACACAGTCTGTAGATCCCCCTGGGTCCGTAGACCACAGTTTGAAAACCACTGTTCTAGGTCATAGATTCCAGCTGCCTGCTATTGCACACCGCTATGTAATATAATCCCTTTAATAAGCTATGAAGCTGTATGTTAGAAGTAGTGGTTGCGATTTGGTATTCTAGTTTTGAGGGGTATCTTTTTTTCTCTCTGCCCCCTCAATTGAAAGGCTCTCCTCAAACCTCACTAAATACCTTTGCCAATATTTAGGCCTGTGAGTCTGCTCCTTTTCATTCTACCATCCTATTTGTAACTCTTATTGCATCTCTTCTTCTAATATTCATTTATGATCAAGACACTCGGCATCAAACTGTACTCGGGAACTCTAGGCTGCTTTGAAGTAGAAAAGTTGCACTATTGCAACTAGATAAATTTAAGTAGACAGAATTGAATTAATGCAAGCTCCTAACCTCAGAGCACTTTTTAAAACTCCTTTAAGCCTTGCTTAGATTGATTAATCTTATCTATTCCAGTGTAAGTCAAGCCTTTCTTATGCCTTTATGGTATTTCAGTTTTGAATGGAAGCATACCTGTATTCCTCCACTGTTGTCCATCCAGAGATTTTTTCCTTTATTAAGTTGATTCTGATTAGGCTGGAGGTGTAGTACTTTGGGTTCTGTACAACCAAATAGGGGCTTTATTTCCCTACATGGAGAAAGAAGCAGATTTAGTATGCTTATCCCCACAGTGACAGCGTCTCCACCTCAAGCAGCACAGAACTGCCAGCTTCCACTTGCCCTTCTACAGATCAGTCAACATGTCAGTGGCATAATCTCAATGCATAAAAATGTATCAAGTACACTTTCCTCTTTCAATGTCCACTCTGCATGGATCACACATGCTAATCAGCATCTGACCATCAGCAATCAGTTGTACAATGTTTTCTGATAAATTTCAGGACCATCTTCAGTAGGGGCTCGAATTATAGATATTTTATGCTTGATCAGTCCTAACACTTCCTCTGTAGCCCTTTGGATCTGATGCAGATTGACAGAGGTGTGCTGCTTCTACTATGTGATTAAAAGGCTGCTTGTGGAGTTCCTGAACATAGTTTGTTATTTTATTAGTGTTCATCATGCAGTTAGTTAGATGAAGACACTTTGAAAATAACTTTTTTTTTTTCTAGTGTTTAGATTTTCAAAAGACGTATTTCTGTCTTATCTCCTACATTCCAAGACTAAAATCCATGCTATAATAGATTTAATGTTGTTTTAATCATCTGAAAATAGGTGTGCTCTATGGAAATATTAAAACTCTTTTGGGATAAGACTCTTCCTTATAAAGGAGAAGGGTGAGGGGTGTATAGTTCTTCTCGTGACTTTTAAATGGAACATCACACTAGTGATTTACCAAAAACTGGTCCTAAAGGCAACTAGCTTCCTATGTCAAGATGATACAGGAGCTAAAAAGAAAAATTTATAATTGTTGTATCAAAACTGTTCTGCTGCTGCTTACTCATTTGTTAAAAATCGTCAGTATCAGGAGCAGTTTTGACGATGCCCTGCTGCTATGGCATTGTAGCACATGCTTCAGGCACTTGCTTCCATGCTGCATTCCAGGTCATTGATCAAACTCAGCAGGCAGAATACTGGGAGTTACATGACAAATCTTTGTGATTCACAGCTGGGACCACAACTACGTATCATAGTAAATGAGTCAGTTAAACATCAGTAGTTTAGCAAGCATGAAAGAAATTACCATGATATCATTCATGATTCTTCATGGGATTTCAAAATGAATAAGTTGTCACAAAACATCATCATGTTTAGTTTAAAATCTTAAATCAAAAAACGATGTCTTGGACTTCAGGTAAATTAATGCTTCAATAACATGACAGTAAAATTGTATTGTCTGGAGGGATTTTTGTTATGCTCTAATTTTTTCTAAGGAAAAAGCGGTTCCCCTAGAACGTATTCTGAACTGCCCTCCAAGTCATCTTTTTTTGGTTTGGGTTGTCATTTGAGGGAATAATTTTACTATAATTTGAATGTACCTTCATCCATCTAGCTAGTTTTGAGTCTCAACCTGTATTAAAATCGTAGAATAGAAAACTGTTCTATCCAGTCTTGAAGAGGTGTAATAGATCTGTTCTAATTCAAAAGCCTCTCACAAATAAGGGGAAGCAACCTTTTGTCATTAAACGTCAACTTAAAATCACGTTCATTCTTTTTATTGTGTAATTGAATTGTTTTTCAAAAAATTGTTAAAGTATATGCTGTGAAAATATTTTGCTAAAGTTTGCTCATTTGCAGGTTGGGAAAAGTGTAGGAAAGGAAGCCATTTGATAAATTAAATGCTCCAGGGAGGGAAATGCAGCAGTCTTGAAAGACTTGGGCTGGAAAAGTAAGAGAGCAAGAAAATAAGGAGGTAGCACTCATCAATTAAAATACTCTTCCACTGAATAATGATGAACATAGTGAAACACTTCAGAGTTCCATTATTACATAAAATTTGTGCATAAGTAGAATGTGGCCTTTACATTTATATTAGTGGGGGATTGCTTATGGACTGAGTGTACCGGGTCATTTTAAAATTTATATTCTGGTCTACAGACTGACTTATCTGGAGACAGAGTTTGACACTTCTGTATTAGGTCCTTGATTAGTTGTACTAATTTGCTCCTTTTTCATTTTTTGTAGGGACAATTGGATTCTTTGCCTGCTTTTGGTTTGTGACCAAAATATACAGTGTGGTGAAAGTTGATTGAAGAAACATTGTAAAAAGTTAACACAGGAGAGATTTAACTTTAATCAACATAATTTAAAGACCTGTTCTGGTGATGAACTTAAGCTTTATCAGAAGTATTAGCTTTCCTGTTCTTTGAGAAATTATACTGAATGCCACAGGCTCTCCAAAACCATTTTTTAAACTAAAGCATTTGTTTGTGATTTTAATGATCTCTTTTCATTCAGATCTTTGTGGAGATCACAGTTAAATATTGTATGCATTTGTAAATATAACTACTGGAATAAAAACTTTAAATTTTAATGACAGATTAGAAGTGGCTGTATTACACAACATAAAGATACTTCTGAATAAAGTGTGATTGTAAATAAGATTTTCTAGATTGGTAGGTGGGATGAATTATTTTTCTTTGAAGGGAATAAGAACTTTTTATGCTAATTTGGAAAGGTGACTCAAGGTATACTGCTTTTAGTTTGGATGTGATTTTTTTTATTTTTTTATTTTTTATTTTATTTTATTTTTTTTTTGGCACTGTTATGATGTCCATAAATATTCCAATTTCTGTGACTTAGTTTGAGTGTTCTTGGCCTTTTAAACTATGTGCCTCTAAGTCCTTGAATTTATACATTCATAATCTTAATAAATATTGTAAAAATGTCTTCAGTGGATCATTACATATTATAAATAAGTTCATAATGTTCTGTAAATACAAATATATTGACAAGGGGTGTTTAAAATTATGTAGAGTATTTTATTGAGGTTTACTGTGTTTGTTAATGTATATTGGCACTCCTTTTGATCTGGGAGAAACTCAGTTGTCTGTGCTACATGACTGTAATGCTAAAATGTGATTGTGGTGCATGAAAATGAAATCATACACGTACTACCTAAGCACACTACAGCATTAATCCAGCCCTTAATCCCAGACATCTTTTTCTTTAAGACTGTTATCATAAAAGCATTTATATGTTGAGAAGATCTTAATAGGTCAGCATTCATTGCTGACTTTGTTTTTAATGGATCTTAATGATACATACTTTGTAACACAACCATTGTTTGTTCTACATAATGTAGGTAAAAATTAAAGACAGCCACTATTTTGCCTTGTATTAAAAGAAACTAATATCAGTTCCTGGTGACTGAAATTTTAATGTGGAATATTATTTTAATAGAAATAATTGAATGTTTATATTTCATTCAGTAATTTAGGTCCGTAATGTTGTTCATCTGTTTGCAAGGGCTACGTTCCCCATCAGTCTGATTAAAGTTTTATTAAACTTATGCTGCATGTACTAGTTGTCACTTATAAGTTATTAATAGTTTTTTGTCTGACTTTTCTAATGGTATACTTTTCTAAGAGACCTTAACCTAATGATGCTTGAATATTGAAATCAATAAAAAAAATATCTTTGGTTAAGGTAACTTGTCATTATTAAAAATCCTCTAACTTCATATGTAAAAGTATTTAAGACATGCTTTGTGTTCAGAGCAGTACAAGTTTGGGTAACTCTTCTATTCCCATTTTATCAGTTAAAGCCTTATTCTTAGACTACTGTGTCCCCCACACCTTGTGTTCAAAGTTTTATCATTATGATTTTCAACATGGCAAGTACAAAATCTGAACATCTAGGTAACCATATTGCTTGCATCTAATATGCTGCTCACAAATCAGCATTACTTATAAAAGTGTGTATGTTTGTTGTCAAATATAATCTTAACTGTAGTGATTATTTTATTTTGGTTTAGAAAACTCTTTAGAGGATTCATGCAAGTGAAAGAGTTTCAGTTTAATTGCAAATTGGTATTTGGTAAAATATTTACAATTGCCATATCTTAATGTTATTTAGTACAATATGCATCTAGACTTTATAGTTGATAAATACGCTCTCTCTTTTTTCACAATAGTATAGTTTTTAGATAATGGCAGTTCTTTAAGTAGTTTACTAATTTTGTCCTTGGATATCCTGTTGTATAAACTGGTTCCCGTTGTCAGCATCTGTAAGGCACTTACACCATCCAAGTACAATACTTGAATTGGAAAATAAGGATGTTCATAAAATATATATTTTCAGATTTTTCAGTACTGAAGTTCTAATGGACTGATAAATTCTCCTCCTTCCCATTGCATTACAGATTCAGAAAATGAGCTGTTTCAAGCTTTGTAACATCAGAAGGATTTGACTTATTCCCACTGTTCAGAACAAATTGTTGGTGTAACAGTTTTATAACTGAGTAGCCCAAAGCATGGAGTTAATAGATGCTTTAAAATAATTTTGTAGGCACATGGAGTGTTTCTGTATCTCCATAGTGCTTCTGGGAGAGTTTTGGATTAGAATCTACATAGTTTCCAAAATACTGGCCTCTAGTCCTTGAGCTAAATTAAGCTGTATAGAAGAATCTCTGTTTGTATCTGGTTGTAAACAACCACTGGGACTGTGCACTCATACAAACAATACCTGATGAAGTCCCCACTGAAATATGGAAGGGTCAGAGGGATACCAGCTGTGCATACCCTCTGCTCTAGTATTCAGAGTAGTTGTTGGTTGGGGTTCAATCCTGTTCCTTTATGTATAATATTTAAAAATCTTTGCTTTTGCTTAATTGTAAGCTTGCTGCTTGAATTGTAGCCAATTCATGGGTTTCCAAGGAGATTTAACTAAATGGAAAGGTTGAAGGGATAAGAACAAGCTGTTGAGTTTCAGGGAGCATCAAAGCCATGTTGGACAAAAATCAAAATTTCAAATCCATGTCAATGCAGTGACCCATACAAAAATGGATTCTCCACCATTTGAAGTACATTCTTCATTTTTGTTTGCCAGATCTATTCTGTAAGCAGTCTTTGGGCCTGCCTGCCTCATTTTCCTGGGTCAGTTGTAAGGATGGTTAAAAATAAGCTCTAAGAGGGAAACCTGATCAATTCTCAACTATACATAAGCTATTTCATAAAGATCAAGATCCAGGCCTTTTTTCAGGTGCATATTTTGGTTAGTACATAGCTGCGCATTTTAAGTAGTCGTGTATGAGCAGCCTCGTCTATCTGAGGTTATGTCTAGACTGGAAAGTTTCATCAGCTGGCAGTACTGTGCTGCCAAAGCACTCATATGCTCAAGTGTTTTGTTGGTACTTTCTCATTATGAGCAGCAGTGTCACCTGAGGATGAAGTTCATCATGAGTTGGCGTCCCATTAGCTCCTACAATGCATTTTGCTGTAGTACTTTGTGGGACATGAGAGCAGAGACAAATGCAACAAAGGCTGAATTAGTAAAAACCTATTCAATTAAATCTGTAAAGATAAAGGCAACAGCATCAAAGAAGAGGCAAAAGAAGTGCCATGTGCCCTTCTGTGTGAAGCCTCGCAGCTGTGTACAGAGGCTTGTAGTTCTCCTTGCCTTCTAGCTGTTGAGTGGTACATGTCAGTGGTGATACTGTCTGTGCCTACAGTGAGGTAAGGCATATGTCTCAAAAACACTGTTTTTCTATTGGATGAGATGGGTCACTCACTACAATTTTCTACAGCATCTCCAACTACTGTTTCAGGATCTTTGTTATGTCTCTGTGCATCTATGCATGTGCCACCCTTTCCTGCTTCTCCTGTTCCTCTTCACTCCTAGTCTCCATCCTCTTGCTTGGCCTTGTCTGCATGATGCTCTTTGAACTTACCCTTCCTAGAGCATCTCTTGTGTTTTCCTGTTAGTGTTGGGCTTAATCTTACCGTTGAGGGAGCACTCTTGAAGTTCACCTTGCTAAGGAGGCTGATTAAAAACAAGGAGCCTGTTGCATTCTGCACAAAGGGAAGAGGTAGCACAAAAGGAAAAGATTGGAAGTCCTTAAAGTTCTCTCGCATATTTGATGAGGCCAGACTGTTTATGGGGGACATTGCTGAGGGACAACTCATTCCTGAAGGTGATCAAGGCTGAGGAAAAAGCAATTGCTGTAGGCACACAATATATTACCGCTCTAACCACTTTAACAGCACAATTGTGCCTGATTAGAAGTACTTGTGTGGTACAGAAGGATCTGGTATAGTGGCTGAAACATGGCAAAGATTTCAAGGAAAGGACCAGGAAGTTCTTGCTGGATCACTTCAAAGACTGACCTTCAGGCCAATGTCGGTGAACAAGATCCTCTGTAGGGATTCATTTGCTGGACAAGCAGCTCAGCATTACTAGCTGGAATCAGCATGGGCCATGGGATAACACCTCTACACCCCTTGCTTCCTTCCTCCCCCATCTATCTCAGGAAGGCACATCAGCAAAATTGCCTGGGGCCAGGATGCTCGCAGCAAAACCCTTGTTGCGTGGCTGCAAACCATCTTTTCCAAAAAAAAGGGCAAAAATAACTGAACTGCAGCTGCCACCTATGGAGCAGTAGGGAAACTGTTAACTGTCATCCTGCTAACTTGGGTGTCATGCTATGTGTTTGCCCCACTTTATACTTAAAAAATAAAGCTGTACCATTGAATAGGGGAGGGTGTGAATCTAAGCCTCTAGCGTTGGCTAAATCCAGCACTTGCAAGCCAGCATTCCTTTTGTTCTATGCATGTGGGGAAAAGTGCCACTTTCAAGCAGGATTTGGGATTTGCTGGGAGAGGAAAACCAGGCTCATAGCCAGAAAAAAAATTTGTAGCTTTTACTGAAGGAACCATCCCCTTATTGCACGTTACTGAGAATTGTTCAGGCTCTCAATATAGCTATCCTGCACTTGAAAGACTGGCTAGTTATCAGGGGATGGAACTGCTTCAGTCTCTACTCAGAGTTGTTGCCCTCCTTTCTTTATTGTGGACCTTGGAAGTTCCTTCCCTGGGCTCCCATGAGGAGTCCAAATTTGCATAAATAGAAGTTCTTTTTAATAGAAGGGTCACATCAGTGCAGCACCACCAGGCTTTTTGTTCTGTAGGATCTCCCTGTGATGCACCTACTGAAGATCCTCAGCCTGGGTCCCTTCTCATCCCACATGATACCCCTTTACCTTGATGTCTTTTACTCTATCTTATAAATGTCCCTGTTCTATTAGTTCCTGCACAACAAGGCTTGCACAGCTTGCTCTCTACGAACAGTGGCTCCTTCCTGCTACAGAAAGGAGCACAGGGTTTCATGCCCCAATTCTCTTTGCAGGAAGTAATAACCGTCTGAAGAGAGAGATGCTATTCCAAAAACTAAAGGGGGTGGGTGTGAAGGCTTCTGGCTGGGTTGACTTCAGTTAATAGGGTTCAAAATAATGGCCAGAAAAATCTGAAAGGCATTCTGGTGTTTCTGCTGGAGAATTGCAAATGAAAAGCATAAAGCTTTGGTTATACTGGGGTTTTTTGTTAGTGTCCATATAATGCCTAAGGACTTGTCACTTGAGGAAGTGGTTTTATTCCACTGATGCAGACCTTGAATGTTGTTGGCTCACAGCTACTTCTTTTATGCAGATCCTGTTGACAGTTTCTGAACTCTGACAAAACTTCTAGCATAGACCAGACCTTTGAGTCCATCAGGTTTCTGGTCACTTATGGCTGCTGCTGGCATCCTATGTAACACTGCCTCATTGTGCTTTTTGGTTGTTTTCAGATCTGTCTTTCTCAGGTGCTGCTATTGCCTCCTATTGGATCGGAGTCAAAATGTCATATGAGTAAAACAAACTGAAAAAAACACATATGATATTCCACAAACATCTCAAAATGTGGTCCTCAGCAAATAGAAATTAATTTGTGACATCTTCATGGCTGACATAGCTCATGTATTTGTAAACATACAGCTAAAAGAGCACTTTAGTATGAAGTTTTATTTCAAACAATCTTGCTTTAGTACAGATTCAACGATCTTTTACCCCGTCCTTCTCACACACATAGGATCCTTGAAAAGTAGGGTTGGAAGGGACCTCTTGAGATCATTTAGTGCAACTCCCTGCTTTAGGCAGGATCATCCATATATGTAATATATACATTTATAATAAGTATATATAACTATATTGTATGTAATAACATTCATGCCATATTAATACTTATTATATTGCAATATTCTTGTTTATAATATAATATTATGTAACGTGCTGTTATATTTTAAAGTTCACAATTAAGAGAGCTTCCAAGGCAGCCCCACACACAGTTCTGAAAAGTTTGACAACCTGGATGTGTGGTTGCCAGGCTTTTGATTCCCAATTGTTGCATCCTCATTTTAGAATAGTTCATAATTATCCCAACTCCACTGCTGGTGACTCAAGGTTTTGTTTAATTTGGTTTGATTTAGTTGTTTTTTTTTTTTCTTTTGATCAAGTAAAGAGGGCTGACAGATTTGCTTTGAATTTTT